CTTGGTTGAGGTGTTGATACCAAAGCGATAGTATCTATAGATGGGGAAGGAGTCAGAATTTTTAATTCAAGGGGCAAAGTAATATTAATCACAAAAATTGAAGAGAGAAAGTATAATTAACCATAAAAATGAGGGAGACAAAAATCAAAATAAATTAAAATTTTAAATACTATTTAATAATAAAAAATAAGTGATAGTGGACTCTAGAGTAATTCTTCACCATTCGATATTGAATGCTCATACCCCTGACATTTAAGGTGCTCGAACTCAGGACCTCAAGGAATAATAATAATTCATTTACTACCGAGATCGCTTAGTTATACGAAAGCATAACTCCATCCCTGCCTATTGATATCCTTGAATTTTTTTTAAACATTGAAGCTTAGATTAGTATAAATATCCTATAGTTAAATATTGATAATTATGTTCAAAATTGTTTTAAATTATTTTTTAGTCCATAATGTTTTTTTTATATTTTATATGCCCTAAAATGTTTGAATTGTATGCATTTTGGTCCCAAATGACAAGAATAGAGTTTTATATATTTGATTTAAGTCGACTTGGATATGAAGTTGTTCAGTTATCATACTGAAATATCTTTGCTCAGTCTAACATTCGAGCCTAAGAGGTGTTACAAAAAATTACTTATTATTTTCAAGGTGAGAGAGGGTCTTAGAGATCCTGACAATGAAAAACATACATTTTTTTTAATAATATACTAAAAGATTATAGATGTTGGAATACAAATTTAATGTAATTAGGTTTTTCTTTCTCTAATTTTATTTGTTTTTTACTAATTTAAAATAATTAAAATGTCTTAGTGGTTAAGAAAATATTGTTATCTTTTAAAATTTTAAATTCGAGCATCGTTTATTAGATATTGATATTTATTATTAAATAATTAAAAGTCTTTAAATAAATATTACTTGTGTTGATCCTAAATTTTTTATTTTAAAAAAACGAATGAGTCATTACTCTTGCGTAGGTATACACCCGTTAGCCAATAAACCAAACACTGGAGTTCGTTCAATGTACATATTTTAGGCTTGCAAAAAGTATAAAGCTTATCTAAATAAATTAGCAAAAATGGAATGTTTCATTTACTATTTTTAGTCTTAATTTAATCATATAATCTGCACCCATCAAGTCCCTCAAACATCATCCAACCTCTACATATGAAAATTTCATTTTGTTTTCGAGGAGAAACAGACATAAAATTTATATTAGATTATTGATATATAATATTTAAAACATAAAAATACATTATTAATAAAAATACCAAAAATATCTAAATTAATATAAAAATTTTTAAAAAAATTAAGAAAATCAATTATCCTCACAAAATTATCCATCTATCTTGACACCGAAAGAGATCCTCAAACAAATTTTTATATAATAAATTATATAAGAACTACGAACACTTTTTTTTTAATAATCTACGATAATTGTAAGATAATATGTGTTTAGAAATTTCTTAATCAATTGACAACACATACATCCTATAAATATAATCACCGAAACTACATTATAAATTTAAGAAGTACATAAACTTGTAAGAAAAACGGTACGTTAAGATAATGGTTAATGTTCATAGGTTCATTAAAAAAAATAATGTTCATAGGCTAATTAAGCTTCCACCTCATCTTCCAGTTATTCACACGAGGATAGTAGAAGCGGTGGTTAACTGAAAATACTTATTAGTTAAATGAACTATCAAGTTATAATTACATGGGAACTTACATACACACGCCCCTCATTTTAAAAAGGGAAAAAATTGGCAGCATTATTATATGATGAAAATGAATGTTGCAGCATTTAAGGACAAACGTCACGACAAATGTTGCCAAGGATTACTTTGCTTTTTTCTATAGCCATATCCTTTGGGGTTTTATCGAAATTTCACACTCAGACCTATTAATTACCTATGAGACACCCTCTTTCATAATATTATCAATCTAACATTTTTTTTGACAAAGTGACAATAAAGTATGGATCACCATCCGCGCCTTCATGGGGTTCTATCCAAGCTGGCGACACGTAAGGGAAGGTGCAGATCGTAATTTACGCCTTCACTGAACTTCTGACATATACGGAAAGTGCGGATCATAAAGCGCGTCTTCCATGGGTCCACATAACCCCTCAAAGCATTTTAAATAAAATATGATTTAAAAAAATAAAACTATAGAGACTAATAAAATAATTTAATACATATTAGTTTTATGAGTTAAAGAATTTAATGGGGTTATATTATATAGGCATATTGGAGTGTTTAGGTTATGTTTCTTGACAACGTGGAATAAAAGCTAAAAGGTGTATTCCTTTAACTTTTTTATCTCTATATCTGATGAATCTACTTATACATTATTATTAAATTACATTAGATTAATACTTATTATTAAGGTTTATATTAATTAAGATGAGATATTTCTTTATATGTTAATATATTTAAATAATTACGTTAGGTTGATATTAATTATTAAGGTTTATACTAAATTAAATTTTGAAGTTGATATATATCAAAGGGGAAACGGTATACTCATGTAAGATCGAATATAATATTAATTATATTCGGGCGGCTCAAACGCCTTAAAATATTGTATGTTCTTTTGTTTTAAATCTAGATTATGAGATAATGATTAATTTTCATGTAATTTATTTAATTATATGTTTTTGCTGTAGTAATTTGAGATGGAATAAGCTACAAGATGTTCTTCATTTTGAAACTGGAGAGCTTAAGAGTCTAACACAAATGTAAGAAGCACCTGGAAGTATTTTTTTTCTTCATGTTATGATAATCAAGATTGTTGCTTTTTACTAACAAAAAAATTGATTAGGTATCTGAGCTTCAATAATTTTAAAGGGGAGATCCCGAAGAAGTTAACAATAATGCATAAGTATATTTATTAAATATAGAGATAAAAAAGTTAAGGAATACACCTTTTAACTTTTATCCCACATTGTCAAGAAACATAACCTAAACACTCTAATATGCCTATATAAGCTCTTCAACTCATGGAACTAATATGTATTATGATGTTGGTCCTTATAGTTTTAATTTTTAATTTTTTTAAAGTATATTTTTTAAAAAATATTTTGAGGAATGATGTGGATCTTGGAAGGCAGGCCCCTTGAAACACGCTTCTTGATCCTAGTCAAGGTACCTAACAGGTAATTAATGGATTTAAGGATGATATTTAGGTAAAAATGCCTCCAAAACAACTTGTTTATAAGATTATATACATTTGCACAAGAATACATTTTACAGTGAAAAGCTCTGCCAATCCTCAAATGAATTCTAGCACCCTGTTACTCTGAAATCATTAAATTGATGGGCATCTTCCTTTCCATTTTATTTCACAACCTTACCCCCTACTCCATGTAGGGGTGGGAATAGGCCAGGTCAGATCAGACTTTAAAAGGCCTGAGCCTGGCCTGTAGCCTATCACAGACTTTTATTTTTGTCTTGGCCTGGCATTTTTAAAAGCATGGCTGGCCTGATAGCCTTTTTAAAAGCCTGTTTAATTTTTAATCTAAATAGTTGGACACATATATATTGGTACCATAAAAATAATATAAGTATCCTAAACACCAATTTTTGTCCCCCATACATGTCTGCACAGTACCCAAGGTCAACACCATACCTTGTTGTTCCCAACGCTTGCACTAGCACACCATCAAATGTTGGTGCCGCCCATACTGTGTCCATGCTCCACTTTTGTTGTTATTTATCTTTGTTTGTAATGGATATATAACTAACTAAAAAAACAAATGAAGCAATGGTGGAGGCCCCGCTCTTGAGAGATAATTGGAGGGGGAGAGATTGAAGAGAGAAAGAAATCGGGGAGTGGGGGTTAGTTTAGCTTTAGGGTTAAATATTATATTTAGGGTTAATTAACTTCTAGACCCTATAGTTTAGCCAAATATTTCCAGTTTAGTCACTAATTTTAGAGTAAAGTCCTTATTAAGTCACTTTAACTTAGGCGCATTTTACAAAGTAGACACCGTTATGACAAGTATATATACATACATATATATAGGTCGACTTATTAGGCTTATAAGGCTTTTTAATAGGTCTGAGCTTGCTGTATTTAATTTAATAGGCTTTTAAAAAAGACCGAACCTAGCTTTTTTTATTAAATAGGTCAGGCCAGACTTTATGTAGGTCAGGTCATAGGCCCCTGTAGGCCGGCCTGGCCTATTCTCACCCCTAACTCCATGTAAGTCCAACAATTTCAAATGAAACATTCTTATTGGTTGATACAAAGCTAGCTATTACATCAACAATATTTGTTTTTAGAATTCTTTCCCTTTAATTAAATGAAGTTTTGAGTTCATTTAGATGCAGATATTTTATGGTCGGTAAAGATACGGAGAGAATTTTACTCGTGTTCCTTTTAACTCAGATAGATTGGAGTGGATGAAGTTAGTAATTCAGATAGTAGAATTAATATTTAGGGAGTAGGTTACTCATATTCTAGGAGTGATGGGAGCGATTAGTTATCAATTAACAATTTTATATCTTTACTAGTCCTATAAAAAGAACGAAACTATATAATTGTAACATGTAATTAATGGTTTTCTTCTTTTCTCATAAATTTTTTTTATCAAAGAGAGAGTGATATAAGTAAATTTCACTTTTCTACTTTAGTGTATAAAATTTAAAAGATTATGTTAACCTTAGAGGAAAACATTCGGTTTCGTGATTAGACTAATCCGAACGAAATTATGTGGTGGATTCTACCGTAGCTATTGACGATCCAAAAATTTAATAATAAGGGTCTAAAATTTTAAAATTTCATTTTTTTAAATAATGGGCATGCAATTTTTTTTCTTAACACATTAAATTAAATTTAATCAAATTTCTAAAATAACGGGATGCACTTAATCCCTATATAGGAGTTTAGTGCATCCGCACGATAAACTGTTATGTTTTCTTTTATTATTCCTTGTTAATCGATACTAATGATATTATTTGGCAGTAATTTCTTAACAAAGTCACCTGAAAGAAGAACTAGTAGTAATTAATTAAGTAGCCGAATTTTGTTTTTACACGAAGAAGAGAGTTGAATCTATTGATTGCATTACTATATCATCAATGGAGATTAAAACGGGGGGGGGGGGGGGGGGGGAAGAAGAGAGATGAGAGAGAGAAGGGTTCAGGTGTTTCTGTGTTGAAGCCAGTTGGAGAATACACGGAGAGTGTTCATGTCGGCTCTGTAATGCTTTTGTACGAATTCATGCAGCATAGGCCATGTAAAATCTGGGTATACTCGGGGATTGTTTTTGTTGACCAACTCTGCTGGTGGGGTTACCAATTTATCACCCGGTGGACACAGAAAGAAAGCCAGTGATTTTCTCGTCAATTGATTGTTCACCACCGCCCGGTGCATGCAACTTTTGTATCTACCATTCGACAGTGCCTGAGAAAAAAATAAAACCCCCACTAAGCTCAAAACTACAGTAAAAGAATATGTAAGGATAAAAAAGTATGTTACCATAAAGGTATCGCCAATGTTGACGACAAATGCTTCGAGATTCGGGCTGATTGAACGCCATTCGTTGTCTACAGACACTTGAAGTCCACCGACTCTGTCTTGGTGAAGGATGGTTAACGACGTTGGATCGCAATGAGGCCCTGTTCCTAAAGTGAGGTCTGGTTTTTGGCATGGGGGATAGTAGTTTAGCCTCATTATTGAATCGTTTTTCTCGAAGAATACCCTGAAATATGATCTCTTTACGCCCAGACTAATGGCCAAAATCTCCATTATCCCTAACGAAAGCTTGCTCATCGCCTCGCAATAGTCTTGGTAAACCCTCCTACACCCCAAAAAGAAAACATCAGATTTTACCATTCACAAAAGGACAGATTGAATCACTTTCTTACCCGAATTGCCTGAATTCATCTCCCATTTTATTAACAAGATAGTCTTCCACTACCTTGGACGAGTTATTCTTCGCTGAATAGCGAAGCGACAGTGTTTCCTTCCATGGCAGCTTGGTGGAGAATCTGCCAGTGAAGCTACTTGCATATCCACAATCTTCCCCTAGCTTTCTTTGAGCCCTTTGCTTCTGGCTTAATGGCAATTCAAAGAAGTTGTCCACGTAGTCATGAGCATCAGCGAGGAGTTTCGCATCGACTCCATGATTAACTACAAGAAAGAAACCGTGCTGCCGACACGCCTCGCCGATAAGCCTTGAGGCTTCAATTGTAGCAGCAGGGTCACCAGAAAGGAAGCCTCCTAGATCAATGAGGGGTACCTTGAGTTCTGGTGGATTAGCCCCGGCCCCAGGCTTTTCATCATCAGGCCATATGAATTCTTTTGGTATTTGGGATTGGAAACTAAAGACGGGGGCATCGAAAACGAGCTTTTTAGACTCGTCTTTCGGACGGTGAGGCATGGAGGGGATGCAGTCAACAGCCATTGCATGAAGAGTAAATGCCTAGCAAAGATGTTTTAATATATAAGCTTGATTTTGGGAGTAGTTAAAAGGGGGTAAGAGATAAAGTGAGACAGAGAAGGGAATGGTGAGTTAGTGGAGAAGAGGGAGAGGGCAGTAAGTTTGAGAGGTGGGATGAAAGAAAAGCCAAGGCCGTTCTCATTGGGGAAATCACTCGACACATATTGGAATCTTATAGTGTAGCTCCTTTCTCCCCCAATTCAATTTATTTTTCCTTTTTTTTACAAATAATGTTACTAGTACCATTTTATCTGTCAAAGTTTTTTTTACAAATTTTTTAATATATGCAAGTAAGTTTTGTAATGTTGTTTAATAAATTAAATATAGTCTAAAATTATATAATGTATGTATAATGTTTTTTTATAAAAAGAATATTCGGATAAAAAGTATTGATGTGGGTATAAAGGAATCAATAAATTGATGGAAAAATAGAATTTACAAAGAGTTTCAAATAGATGATCAAATTGAATAAAATATGAAAGTGAGGGAATAAATTGAAAAAAAGGATTTTTTTAAACAAAATAGAAATTGAAGTTATTTAGTTATTCTACATTGATAGATGGGTATATCGTTCAAATTTTATCAAAAATAAATTTAAAATAAAAGAAAAACTAAAAAAATAAAAAAAATCATGCAAAACATAAAAAATATTGTCATAGAATGAATTGGATAGGATGAATTAAAGCCGCACATGTATTATAATGTTATTAATAAATATGTTATTTAAATTTGATTAAAAAGAGAAATTGAAGAAATAATGAAATTAAAGATTATATTATAAGAAAACTACTTAATTGATATAATATCGTTTTAATTTTGAACTTTTAGTTATTTAAACTTTAAAAATTTAAAAGATAAATTACATCATTCTTCATTAAACTTTATTATCTCTCCTATTTCATTTACTGTATTTTTAATTTTTCTAATTTGCTCACTGAATTTTTTAATTGTTCTTGTTTTGATCACTCTAGATTATTTTATTATTATTTTTCTATGGTGTGATATTTTTATTATTATTAAATATAAAAATAATTTAAAATAAATAATAAACTAATATTTTTATTATTATGAAATTTAAACAAATTTAAAATAATCATCGTTAATCATTGAGCATCGTTGACCACCATCGACCTTTGAAGTTATTTTTATATTAAATAATAATAATAATGTCACATCATATGAAAAAATAATAAAATAATTCAGATGACCAAAACATGAGCAATTTGAAAGCTTAGTGAGTAAATTACAAAAAAATAAAAATGCAGTAGATAAAATAAGAGAAAGTAAAGTTAATGAAGAATTGTGTATTTTATCCAATCTAAAATTAACTCAAACATCAGATCAGAAAAAAATCAATAGTTTAACTCAAATAACACATAATTAGAAAATACCATTTTTAGTCTAATCAACATTTTCTCACCGATAATATTACTATTTCTTCGAATGAAAATGCTTGACATTGTTAAAAATAAAATATTATTTTGAATGTATTAAAATTTTAAGGCTTAATATAAAAATAAGTCCATAAATTATACATTTTTTTTCATTTAGGCGCCTAAATTATTTTTCGATCAATCTAGATGTCTAATGTTTCCAATGTTTCACTTTTAGGTGTTTAGACTGTTACTGTATTAAATTCTGTCGTTAAATGACACAAACCGCCTTTATAAAATTTTAAAATCTTATATTTTTCAAAATGTTTTTTTTAAATTACATGAGCATGACACGCTCCACTTTAACACAATTATGACTGATGAGGCACCTAAAAATGTAACATTAGAAACATTAGACACCTAAATTGATTGAAAAAAGTTTAGGCACCAGGCAAAAATGATATAGTTTGGATATTTATTTTTATATTAAGTCAAATTTTAATGAATGTTATAATAATTATGAATTATTAATTTGTGAAATATTATCTATTGTTTAATTTATAAAAACAATTAATATGATTGAATAAATATATTTATTAATAAATAAACTTATAAATTTCACATGTTACCTAGAATATTCAAATTGGAAAAATATATTTATGAAAATAAGAATAAAATAAACATTTATTTTATATTATACATAAAAATAAAAAGTACAAATAGAAAAACACTAATATATATGGGTAAAATACATGATTCCTCACTAAACTTTACTCTATCTCATATTTCATTCACTATACTTTCAATTTTTCCAATTTACTCACTGAACTTTCAAATTGCCCATATTTTGGCATTTTGACTTATTTTATTATTATTATGGTGTGATGTGGCATTATTATTATTATTATTATTTATTATTATTTAACATAAAATAATTTAAAATATAAAACAGAAATAGAATATGGATGTCCATTGTTTGTCGGCATTAGATGCCACCATAGCAGTCGTAAATGGTGGTCGTTTAGTCTGAGATTTCATTCGTTTCGCTCAATCGGTAAGTCTGAATCCGACCTCTATTTTATCGAAATATGCCGACCATTGTCGACCGTTGTAGATGATGGTCGTTCGATCCCATATTTCATGGGTGACCTTGTCTCGACCCCTTGAGTCCAAATCCGTAATACCCCAAACATCGTGTCAATGACTAAAATGTTTAAAAGTTGGTGGCTTAATTTGAATAAATTGAAAAGTACAATGACTGATTTTGGAAATTGGGATTAAGACTTATTAGTAAGGATGAAAGAATGGAGGGCTATTATAGTCTTTTAGTAGGAAATGAATTTAATAATCATTTCTAAAGATATTTATTAAGTGATGAATGTGGGAAAAAGATAAGGCTGGAACTTTGGTTTTTCACTCTTCTTCTTATTCTCTTCCCCGTAACTCAATTGTTAAGCTAAGGTAGGTTTTCAAGTTGGTTATTCCTTTCATTTTTGGGTTGGTTTTGAAGCCTTGAGTGATATAGAAGCTTAAGGAAGGTTTAAGGATGGATAAAACTAAGAAATTAGTTAGTTGTTAGTGAATTAGTAAAATGGGGTTTTTAGTGATTTGATGAAATTTGGTCAGTAATTGGATTTTAAAAGCAAGATGTAAATAAGAAATTTGAAGCCTTAGAAGTGATTGAAAACATGTTTGAATATTTGGTGTGATTTTTAGTTTAAGTGTTCTTTGGAGAATTTGGATGTTATAAGGAGGTTTATGAGTCTAAGTTAGTTGGGATAAGTGATAACAAGTTTGATGGCATGGTTGGAGATAAGAGTAAGAGATTTAGATGAAATTTGGGTAAAATCGAAGTGAAATAAGTAAAATCTAGGTAAGGGTATCGGTATTGGAAGAACAATACCGATACTATAAGGTTAAATTGAAGGAAATAATATGAATACGATGGAGGTATTGATACCAAGAGGAAGGTATCGATACTGTAATTGAAAATTGGATTTCAAGAATGCAAAAATGGTATCGATATTGAAGTGGATATTGGTACCATAAGAGAGAAGTATCAATACTGTAGGAGGGGTACCAATACTATTCAATCTGAAATTGAAGTTGTAATGTGAAATTAAGCCATTATGAATAAAAAGGAAAAATTAGGATGAATTTGAAAAGAATTAAAAAATAATAGTACTTTTGAGTATTATTATTTTGTATAAATGTTAGAAAGTATACTAACATTTTATTTTATATTGTATGTGTGATTATGGATGCTTGTGTAGATCGTAATCTAATTCATGAGACAAGCAAACAAAAAGGCAAGGACAAAGTTCAAGAATAGTCGAACTACTTTAAGGCATAATATTAAGGCATACCATGTGAGTGCATTTATTATGTATTTATATGATATGAGGATGACTTGCGATGAGTCAACCTGGAATGTTTTTATAAAACATGTTTTATTGTATTTTAAAATATTTTCATAAAGTTTATGAAAATGACTTTACGAATAATTTAGAGTATGAACGACTCTAAAATAGATGGATGAACTTCTTTATTGTTTTAACAGCTATTGATGTTTCTGAATAAATGTTTAATCTGCGAATTTGATTTAAAGGCCTATTGTATGTGCATTGAGAGTCGTAGGTGCATTTCGACATACTTTGTGTATGATGGTTATCGATCGATTTTGTTTAATGCATATGTTGTATTTTCGTATAAGTACTATGTGTACTTTCGACACTATGTGTGCATCCATGATATTCATAATGAGTTTGTGAATTACCATTTCGGCACTATGTGTGCATTCATGGTATTCACAATGAGTTTGTGAATTACCATTTCAATACCTTAGTATAGTATTGTCGTCATCACAAAACGTATGCTTTCGTTATGCACTTATGTGCAACTCATGTACCTTGCATTCTCATTCAATATACATTAAGCAAATAAATAAATGGATAATTTAGAAAAATATTGATTGATAGGTATGTTGGACATACTAAATATTGTTTCACAGGTTATGTGAAAGAAATTTGGTTTACTAAGTTGGTTATATGTATTACTATTATTTATATGATTTAATTCGTATTTTGATATTTTATGATATTCTTATGTTTGGTTACGCCTCTTTTATATTATTATGCCTCACTAAGTGAATACTTAGCGTGTAATGGTTTCACGTGTAGGTAATAGCATACGACCGGAGTAAGGAGTGCAGCTGACATCGTAAATCAAAGGTACCTCATCAGTAACTGTATGACATTTATGTCTACTTTTGATATTACTAGATGACATGTAATAGATTTATAATGATGCTCTGGAATGTATTTGACTTATGATGTAGTAGTATTTATTATGTTATAACTTTAAGGTTATATTTTACATAATATTAATTAATGAATGTTTTTATTATTAATATTTAAAATATTTTATTTATAGAAAAAAATTTACTAGTTTTCAAATACAAAATTGTTTTAAAAAGTCATGTGACATCTGTTACTCGTGTACGAGAATGTATACGGAAAATGGGTGTTACATTGATTGGTATATGAGTTATACTTTAGTCGATTCTCGGTTGAAACTGATTGTATTTTACTTTAAAAAAGGGTTTACATGATACTAAGATGTCAAAGTTACTGATATGGTGTCGTTAGGATATGATTGATGTCACTACTTACTAACTTGAGTGGTTATTATTATGTATGTCGTTTTAGACGTCAGAATATGTGGATTCACATACAGCGATTGAACAAGAAGTTCGAGAAGGGTCATGTAGTGAG